GGGGTCCCCTACCATGTGCCTTGTGTTCTCCTCCCCAGGGGGAGAACCAGCCCTGAGGGACACCCTGACACCCCTTGTGTGCCTCCCCCCCCCAGTGTCCTGCTCCATCCCTCTCCAGCTGTCAACTGGGACAAACTGGGATGTGCGAAGTGGTGTCTGGGGGGGTGACCTGCCTGTTGCTGGCAGGAGAGGCCCTGCCTGCACCCCCAAAATGGCCATTTTTCCCCCTATTTTGAGCTGCCTGTTGAAGGGGGGACTGTGGATTTTTTTTGGTCCAGCTTCATTCTGATTTTGTGTTGTTGTTTTTCCTCCCTGACTCCCTCCTGGGGAGGGGTCTTGTGGTGTGTATGGCCCCCTCCCCCCCACCCCGGGCCCACAGCCCCCTCCCCACTGATGGACAATTCTGGCACCACTGGCTGTAATTTCTGTCACTTCTGTATTTTTTAAACCTCCAGCTGAACAGGCCCGTGTTCCTGGTGTCAATTTTGGGTTCCTGGAAATAAACATGGACCGTGGTGCCTGGCTCCCTCCTTCCCTGGGATCCCAGAAAGAGGAGGGAGACCCCCCCATAAAGAGAGGCTGGACTCCAATAAAAAGGAGGAGACCCCAATATAGAGGAGGGGAACTCCCCAAAAAAGGAGAAACTGCAGTAAAGAGGGGGGACCCCTATAAAGGGGGGACCCCTATAAAGGCGAGACCCCAATAAAGATGAGGACTGGGAGCTGCACTGGGGGGGAACTCCCAGTAAAGGAGGAGCCCCAATAAAGAGGAGGAGACCCCAATAAAGAGCGGGGGGAACTCCTAGTAAAGGAGGAGCCTCAATAAAGAGGGGATGCCCACAAAGAGGAGAGCCCAATAAAGAGGAGACCCCCATAAAGAGGAGGAGACCCCAATAAAGAGGGGGGGACTCCAATAGAGGAGAAGGACCCAAATAAAACGGGGGACTCCAATTAAGTGGGGGGACCCCCATGAAGAGGGGGGGAGGCTCCCATGAAGAGGAGGACACCCCAATAAAGAGGAGGGGACACCCCCCTCCTGGCTGCAGCACCGGGGAGCCCTGAGTAGGTTTATTTAGGGAGCGACTCCCTCCCGGCCCGGGGGTCACGGTGCCGCCCCCAGCCCCGCGGGGCCGTACAGGTCGTGCCGCCGGTGGTTCAGCACCGGCATCTCCCGGCGCACGCGGCGCAGGTACCCGAGGTCGATCTCGGCGAAGCAGAGCCCGGGCCCCTCGCGGCACTGGGCCACCACGGCCCCCCAGGGGTCCACCACCATGGCGTGCCCATAGGACACGCGGCGCGGGTGGTTCTGCCCGGTCTGCGCCGCCGCCACCACGTAGCACTGGGGCTCGAT